TTTTTCCAAATGAGGCAGCTCTGTCCCGCATGCTGGAGTCCAGTGATAAGATCTCTGCTCATGCAATCTCTGCCTCCCAGGTTCAAGCAATCCTGCAGCCTGAGCCTCCCGAGTATCTGGGACTACAGGCGTGCACCACCACACCTGGCTAATTTTTGTATTTTTAGTAAAGACAGGGTTTCACCATGTTGGCCAGGCTGGCCTAGAACTCCGTACCTCAAGTGATCTCGCCTTAGCTTCTCAAAGTGCTGGGATTTCAGGCATGAGCCACTATACCAGCCAATAGATGCATTTTTAGAGATAATAAATTTTCAGTATTTCTATTAAACTCTTACTATGTGTTCTTTATACCTGCTATAGCCTCTGTAACTTTGTTATTCACTGAATCATTATTTTGAAATCCTGAAGTTTTTCTTGTGCCTACATGAGAATACAGTAAGTTCAGGATCGTACCTGTAATCCTAGCACTTTGGAGGCCAAGGCGGATAGATTACTTGGGCCCAGTAGTCCAAGAGCAGCTTGGGCAATGTGTTGAAACCCTGTGTCTACAAAAGAAGACAAAAATCAGCCGGGCGTGGTGGTGCACACCTGTAGTCCCAGCTGCTCGGGGAGGTTGAGGTAGGAGGACCACCTGAGCCTTGGAAGTTGAGGCTGCAGTGAGCCAGCATCTTGCTACTGCACTCCAGTCGGGGCAACAGAGTGAGACCCTGCCTCAAAAAAAACAGGTAAAAGGAATTTGTTAATTTCCAAGGAATATTTTATACTTGAAAAGAACATTTTAAATATATATATGATGAGCTCTTTAAAATCCAGTGTCATTTCTTATAGCCTTTCAGACAATAAAGAGTCACTGAAGCTCTTAAAGCTGCAATGTAGAGGCCGGAGAGGCCACACAGTAGCTGGGAGACAAAGCCCCTGCTGCGGCGTGGCCTCAGCCTTGGCCACCCCGTGCTGCCACAGTCCATGATGCAGTAGAAACTCGCTGGATTGGCCAAGCTTGGTGGCTTACGCTTATAATCCCAGCACTTTGGGAGGCTGATGCTGGTAGGTGACCTCAGGTCAGCAGTTCGAGACCACCCTGACCAGATGAAGAAACCCCATCTCTACTAAAAATACAAAAAATTAGCCGTGTGTGGTGGCTCAGACCTGTAATCCCAGCTACTCAGGAGGCTGAGAGAGGAGATGGCTTAAACCTGGGAGGTGGAGGTTGTGGTGAGCCAAGATCACACCATTCATTGCAGTCCATCCTGGGCAACAAGAGTGAAACTCTGTCTCTGGGAAAAAAAAAAGAAAAGAAAAGAAAAAAAGAAAGACACTTGCTGGATTAAAGATGTGACTGCAAGCACAAAGAAGGGATTGATACGTCCGCTGCTGAGTTGTGCTTTTCCCTCATAGTCGATGAGTCTACGGACAGCGTGGACCTGCCACTTGGCCTGTGTCCCCTGGCTTCTCATCACAGATAATGTTCTTTTTTTTTGAGACAGAGTCTCCCTCTGTCACCCAGGCTAGAGTGCAGTAGGGTGATACCTGCTTGCTGCAACCTCTGCCTCCTGGGCTCAAGCAGTTCTCCGGCCTCAGCCTCCCAAGTAGCTGGGATTATGGGCATGTGCCGCCACGTCTGGCTCATTTTTCTATTTTTAGTAGAGATAGAGTTTCACCATGTTGCCCAGGCTGGTCTGAAACTCCTGATTTCAGATGATCCACCCACCTTGGCCTCCCAGTGTGCTGGGATTCCAGGCCTGAGCCACTGCGCCCAGCCTACAGATGATGTTCTTTTACCCCAGTGCTTGACCATAAAGCACAAATGGCACTGACGTAGTCAGAATGTGGAGTGCCTTTGTGAATTTCGTGATTGTTTCCAGAACACGTGTTTTCCCATTTGTGCTGATGGTGCGGAAGCCATGGTGGGTGGAACTGGTGGCACCTGAGCATGACTTGAGGCCATGGCTGCAAGCGTTACCAGGTGATCATCCTATCTTCACTCACCCACAGGAAGAGAGAGAGGAAAGAAATCAGCCTCGCTTCTGAGTGTTGGTTAAAAATGATGAGTGTTATTAATGCTTTGTAGGATGAGGTAGGAAGTACGCAGAAAAGCACTCACTTCTGCTGCAAACACGAGTGTGCAGCCGCCTCAGGGAGACACACTTGTGTGACTCTTGCTTGCTATGCTCAGGGAGCGTATGACAGGCAAACTGAGTCTGACGGACTCAGCCTTTTGCAGACTTAGCTATTTGGCCAATGTTTTTCTTGAAAATGATTGGAGTGAGCTTGTTACTTTAAGGAAATCAACTGCCCATATTTATACCAATGATAAAATTAAAACCTTCAAGTGAAAATTAGAATTTTGGTAAATTTATTCATCACTGTGAGCCTGATACCTTCCCAATAAAATTCTTTTATTGTTGCTTATTTATCTTTTAAAAGAAATAGAGACCAAGGTCTCACTGTGTTACCCGGGCTGGTCTTGGACTCAAGCAGTCCTCTCACTTTGACTTCCCAAACTGGTGGGATTACAAGCATGAGCTACTGCACCACTCGGCTAAAAGTCTTTTCTCTCTTTTTGAAATGGAGTCTCGCTCTGTGGCCCAGGCTGGA